GTGGATGATGAATATGGAGAGACTGTCGAAGCATTCGTCAGTATTTCATTGCTCAGGCCAAGTGGACCCACCAGGTGAGTCCTGGACCTTTCCTGGGAATGTCACTGAGAGATTATTACCACTTATAGATATGTTATCCGATGGAGACAGCGAAGCCAACTCCTGGGGAACAGAGACGAAGCCCAGTGGATTACGGCTTCGGTGAGTTCCAAGCTCCTTCTGATCCAGGTAACTATTTCGGACCCTATGATTTCAGGTTGAACCCGGTACTTTCTTCAAAGTGAGAGGATTGATTCCCGGCGTGCAGTACAGTTTCATGGTGACCGCTGTAGGACCCAGTGGCCGTCTCGGCAACACTATTACTAGTCCTTGGACAGAGATTTTAAGCAGTGCCACGGTTAAAGCACCAACACCACCACTGACACTGAAAAACGGTTACAACACAGATCGCGGGGTTATAGCTCAGCTGGAATGGCCAAGGACCCCGCAAGATTCGTGTTACTACAAGCTCCAGCTCAGCAACAGTTCATCTCAAACCAACCGGGATGTTGAGCTGGTAAGTTTTTAGCTGGAGAGATCAGGCTTCTTCATTCCTCTTGAACTTAGCCTACTCTTTCAGGATGCATCCTTCTCGATTCTCCTACCTCATCTCGAGTTCGACTCTGACTATACCGTTTCGTTAGCTGCAGTCTCAGCTGATAAACTCCAAACCAGCAAATCGATCACCGCACACTTCAAATCGCTTCCCTGCAAAGACATCCACGGCCGTGGGAGTCTCCAGTGTGGTGAGTTTTGGGGATCTTCCTTGAATCGTTTTCAAGAATTTCCCGGGTTTATTGAGTACCTTTAGCTCCTGAGCCTGTATCCGATTTGGCTATAACCGTTCGACCCAATGGAACAGGATTGATCACCTGGACACCGTCAGCTGATTCACAAAATATTCTCTTCTATCAAGTTGTTTACCATGCTCTCGAACATGGAATAGGCTGTCGGGTGAGAAAGGAGACCGTCAACGTCAAAGCGGTAGGTCCTGAGTGGATTTTGAGGAGAGCTTGAGCTCCCACTGATGTGTTTATTTTTAGATCGTTAACTTCGCAGAAGTGACTTTCCCGGGCCAACAATGCGAATACGTGGTTCGGGTCATCAACTACGATCTCATCGGAAGAGATGCATCTACAGAAGCACGAATCCGCGTGGAACCCTCCCCTCCCCTGCATGTCAAATTCATCGTTCGCCCAGAGGTTGTCACCATTGCTGCATGTCTCGTATTCCTTCCATTCGCTCTTCTTCTTCTCTTCTGTCGTCATCGTCGATGCCCCCATCGAGTTATGGAAAAACATCCCAAACTTACCGAATACGTCTGACATTCTGAGTGCTGACGTTATCGGGTTGATGTTCAAGTTATCAGACGGGTGGCTGTTTTGTCTTATTGTTAGTGTGGTGCCCAGCAGTGCCTTGTTGCCGGTTTGTGATCTCTAGTTATACTGTACATATTTATACATACATATATTTAAGTAGTGAGTTTAGATAAATATTTTCTCTTCGTGTTTTTTTTTTGAATTTCAAGCCAGTTGGAGCCTTACGGCTTGGGCGTTGAACAGTAGAAAACTCGAAGCTGGTGGTAGTCCGCTAATTGTAGTCGCAGCCCTCCACAAGCTAGTCTCAAGCCAAACAACTTACCAGATTATTTTCAGTCCTTTAGCGGGTTGATTATTCTGGAAACCTTCCAACACTCTAAAATGGGCCAGGCAATCGTTCAAATTTCTCGCTTGATATTACTTTCAGCTCGTCAGCTTCCTATGGTAAGCCCTGTTGGGAGACGGTATTTCTACCTTACAGGTGATAGCAACACTGGAGTTGTAGACGTAGCTTTCTACACAAACTGGATGTTCTAGATGATCAATTGGCCCCTATACATGTGAGAAGATAGCTGCAATTCAGAACAGAGAGATATACCCTGCAACTGCACTGCACTTCAAACTCCTGCATGGAACTGGCACGATATAGAGGAGCAACAGTATGCATTCCTGGAGCTTGAAGATATGGGGAAGCTTCCAAAAATCATGAAAGGATTAGTAAATATGGCAGGTAGGGCGAAGTTCAACACCCATGCATTCTGTTTTTGTGCACTAGACAGCATGGAAGAACCCGAGGAAGTCCGCGAACTTCCCCTTACCATAAGTTTCTGCGTGAGGAGGTGGTGCACGATTAAACTCATTGTCCGAGTTTCCAAGACAAGATGATACCGTCCAGGCCAATCATGCATCCGATCCCTCAAGAGTCGCTTAGTTGTTAATAAGCTCGCTTGGACTTGGGAGGAGAAAGAGCTCAGTTGTACAACATGCGACCAACGCAAGTTACTGTATAGGCCACATATACTGCATTCGGTAGAAGCTACGAGGCATACGACAGGGAGAGGGCCCACCCACAATGATGAAGATGAGTGAGATTGTAATTGCTTCTAACAGCTAGAGTGGATGTATTTGAATTATCGAATTAGGAACCCATGCCATGATATCTAGAAAAAAGTGAAACAACTTCTGATCTGACAAATATCGAAAACCTTATTCACTTTATTTGTGAAGGTCTTTCATTCTCATTCGACAACAAGTGAATTGGCTTGGTGTTGCTGTTGCCTCTTGCCGCTTTCCATTTGTAAGCAGGAAACCGTATGGAAACAAAAGTCCTCATGTATTCTCTGACCACAAAAGGGCGTTGGTGGTGTAGTGTTATGTGACACACTTCACATAGGCATGGTCACGGGTTCGAATCCCGGGACGATATCCGCCCAGGCCAACCAAACCTTCCATCCGTGCGGGGTCAGCTCATTGCTACGTCTGGAAAAATAAAAGCACTGACTCGTACATCCGCTGGCCACCGCAAGTCATTGTATAGGCCACATACACATTACTCGCACTTATTATGCCCCCACGATTCTGAATGGAAGTCGAATGCGAGACGCATCCCTCAAGCGATATTTATTAACGTTAAAAACTTTATCCTCCGGTGAAAAGGAGAGCGCTCACTTTCTACATGCACTTTTTTATCGAACCAAAAAGGGCGTAGGGCAGGGTTATGCATGGAGTGGAACATCGGGCAGATAGACTCAAAATCAGCATTCAATTGCTGTTGTTGCCCTCTATTCTTTGCCCATGCTCTAGATGTTCTGTCAGTTGAATTTTGTAGGGGCAAAAACCCAGATGTTAGGTGGTAATGGGTTTAGGAGGCTACCTGATATTTTCGTTTTTTATCCTCAGGACCTGAACTGCTGTTTCCAGACGTCCACCAAAACTCTCACTCATTCTTAGATGTGATGGTATGAAGAGCTTGCTTTTGTGCTGCCAGGGTTAGGCTTTTGAGCTTCCCACATTATCCCACATCGGCGAAGTTGGACTTTTCTCCTTTTTTTCGTTTACAGACGACCAGGTTTTTCGGCATTATTCCCAGCGGAATTTGTTGACTGCAGTGGCCAACTTTCTCATCATCTTTGGAAAGTGGCCTACTTTCTCATCATCTTTGGAACAATGGGCATCAATGAAAACGCGTTGCATTGCCTGCTGTTGATGCGTTTCTGATAGCATTGGACTGTCGACTGACCCGCTCTCCTTTTTTTCGTTGGCGACACTTTATTGCAGAACTGGCGCGAATTCAAACCAAGCGTGGGAACTCGGACAGTCTCTGTAGCCAGAACAGTTTACTCGTTTGAGCCTGAAGTTCTATCGACACCCCAAACCTTTGATTAATTCCGTTTTAGGATGGGCTGTGCAATCGTCTTCCAAAGAGAAATGTAGTGGTTTTGATTGGGCATGTGCCCTATACGCTGAATCGCTATGGCCAACCGATTTGAATGTCAATCCTAACATTTCCCATGAACCCTTGATTGGCTTGGGTGGGTGCTAGTCCATATTTCTGAACTTAACTACTTTTTGCCTATTTCATTCAGGTCCAACAGGTCTCGGGACGACTGGNATACAGTACGATAATCAAAAAAGATCCTTCAGTGTGAATCCGGGTGCCATCAACACCGCCGGCTCCATGGAAAAGGCCATCGTGGACGTGTTAATTCGCCCTTCAACAATGGCCTACGGTTTTGGGCTGAAAGCAGTGCCGACAGTGGTTCGTTGTCTTATCTATGCCGTAGCCTGAGCACAGTTTTTCTGAGGATGTGTTCGGACTCAATGACCCTTAAAAGATTACAGCTCAACCTATCTTTTCAGCTCAAGCAGGTTCGGCTGTCATGTCTTCCGTACAACTGGTTTGTCAAAATCCAATAGTGGATGATGAATATGGAGAGACTGTCGAGGCATTCGTCAGCATTTCATTGCTCAGGCCAAGTGGACCTACCAGGTGAGTCTTTGGTCTTTTCTGAGGATTCACTGTGAGATTGTTGCCATTTACAGATATGTTATCCGATGGAGACAGCGAAGCCAACTCTTAGGGAACAGAGACGAAGCCCAGTGGATCACGGCTTCAGTAAGTACTATGCTCCTCCCGTAGCCAATCCGTCGATCCTTTGAAGTCATTCTGCCTTACGGTTTCAGGTTGAACCCGGTACTTTCTTCAAAGTGAGAGGATTGATTCCCGGCGTGCAGTACAGTTTCATGGTGACCGCTGTAGGACCCAGTGGCCGTCTCGGCAACACTATTACTAGTCCTTGGACAGAGATTTTAAGCAGTGCCACGGTTAAAGCACCAACACCACCACTGACACTGAAAAACGGTTACAACACAGATCGCGGGGTTATAGCTCAGCTGGAATGGCCAAGGACCCCGCAAGATTCGTGTTACTACAAGCTCCAGCTCAGCAACAGTTCATCTCAAACCAACCGGGATGTTGAGCTGGTAAGTTTTTAGCTGAAGAGATCAGGCTTCCTCATTCCTCTTGAACTTA